GGACCTAGAGATTCCTAGAGAGAACATATTAATCAAAACCACAAATAACCAAATCCACAAAAGTCAAAGCCGCAAACGTGGAGGGCCAACTGTACAATTTAGGCATCTAAAGAAAAGGGGCAGGTAAAATGACCAAGGGAATGCAGAGACTGCACATAGAAGAATCCGAGATGTGAATGCTTTTCTGTCTCTCAGTATATATGCAATGCTAGAAATTTGGAGACTGAAGGAAAAGGTCATGGAGGAGCAGGACTCTTATTTGGAGGGGCAATGCACTTAATCCCTCACACACAAACCCTTGAATTGCTCAAGGATAATCCAGCAGCAAGATGAATGGGTGTCTGAACTTGAGCCAGCCCTGTCTTAGCCTGAAACTAACAACTCTATCACGGTGGATCCATATATAATGGACACAGAATAAGATCCCATCAGAGTCCTTATCTTTGTTCTTCATCCAGCTTTGTTTGCTGAAGTGAATACAGTCTGAAAGGCAGCGGCATGTTAAAACAAGCCCTGAAGTTTATAGTTCAACTCAGTATAACTTAAGAGGCTATGTGTTATGAATTAGGGAACCCCTGGTTTCAATATTGTATGAATGTAAGAATTTAAGAGCCACGTTGGATCAAACCAAAGGACTATCTAGTCCAGCATTCTGTTTGCAGAGCAGCCAACCAGATTCTCATGAAAAGTCCATGCATAAGACAAGAATGAAGGCCAGCATGGTGTAGTAGTTTGAGCACCTGACTACAACTCTGGAGACCAGGATTCAATTCCCAGCTTAGCCATGAAATCCACTGGGTAAACTGGGCAAGTCACACTCTCTCAGCCTCAGGGGAAAGAAAAAGCAACCCTCATCTAAACAAATTTTGCCAAGAAAAATCCATGATATTTTGCCTTAGGGTCACCATAAGTCAGAAATGGCTTGAAAGCAGACAACAAGAAGAAAAGAATGCACTCACATCCTTCTAACTATGTTTCCCACAATGAATATTCAGAGACATGTTGCCTCCAGTACTGGAGTCTATATACAGACTTTGCAAAATGATTTTTTAAAAAGATATTTGTTCCTATTGTTATAGCATTGAAGAAGCAATCTGGTGCTCTAGCTTGTTACAGTGTTTCATGGTGGTCAGTGCTTTTTTAATTACTTTTCATTTTCTTTAAAGAAAAAGCTGAGGATTGACAAAAAGAATAAACATTGAAACATTCTGGTAAAATGCCTCTAAAGATGCCCTCACAAAGTAATTTTGAAAAGTAACTAGAAAGTAACTAGAAACTATTATTACATAGCGAGATCTTGTAGCATCTTTAAGACTAACTGAAAGAAAGAACTTGGCAGCATGCGCTTTCTTAGACTTAGGTCTCCTTCCTCCAAATGCATCTGAGGAAGTAGACTGAAGTCCAGGAAAGTTTATGCTGCCAACTTCTTTCTTTCAGTTAGTCTCAAAGGTGCTACAAGATCTCTCTACATACTGATTTTGCAGACTAATACAGCTATATCTTTGAATTCTGGAAACTATTATTTGTTACCCAATTGCCTAGAGAAGTGGTGGGGTCTTCTTCTTCCAGATGTCTTAACATAAAATGGATGGGCCACTACCTGACGGGGACACTTTAGCTCAGTGGTTCCCAGACTTTGGTCCTCCAGATGTTTTGGAGTCCAACTCCCAGAATGCCTGACTGCTGGCCAAACTGAGTAGGGCTTCTGGGAGTTGGTCCAAAACACCTGGAAGAGCAAAGTTTGGGAATCACTGCTTTATCTGGAAATCCTGCATCGAGAAGGGGTTGGAGATGATCAGCCATGAGGCCCTTAACTCTATGAGTCTGTGATCCTATGAGTCTCTACCCCAACAGGGTAGTTCTCTTCCACTTGTAGCTCTTTGATATGTAAGTGCTCTCACTCCCCCCAAAAAAGAGAGGGATGACTTACTACAGTAATTAGATTAATTCATTATCTCCAAACTCCAGTAATATTTAACTACCTGTCTTCCCTCTCCCAGGAATACACTAGGTAGCTCTATGCAATACAATGGATAATTATTCTGACTTATCTAAATAGGATTGTTTAGAGGATTGCAACTAAATAATGCATGTGAAGTAACTTGAACTCTTCAAAAAGCTATTCTTGTTGTTAACAAAAGCCAGTGTGGGGTAATAGTTTGAAGGTTGGATTAGGAGTCCTGGAGACGAGGTTCAAATCCTGCTCAGCCATGGAACCCCACTGATCTCGGAAAAGTCATACACTCTCAACCTCAGAGGAAGGCATTGGCAAACCTCCTCTAATTGCCAAGAAACCCCCATAATAGGTCACCATAAATCAGAGCCAAGTTGAAGGCACATCACAACAAAAAATATCAACCAGAACCCAATGCTAGATTATGCATGTGAAGCACTTAGAACTTGTGGAAGCATTAACAGTATTATTATTTTCATTTTTATTCTGCTAGTTCCAAAACACCAACCACCGTTTCAGCCCTGGATCTCCACAATTGGAGGGGGCGATCCATCCTATTCAAGTGGCAAGTTTGCTTCAGTTTAATTGAGTAGCTACATTTCATTATTTAACTAACCTTAACATCAACAAAAGGTGTCCTGTGATTAATGAAGCCTCGGGTTTTAATCTTTCTTAGTATTCTTTTTAACATAGGTACTGATAAAAATCATACAGAGCAAGCAGTCTTAAAACATGCAGCCCCCCCCTCCGCCCCATGTAGGAGCAAAAAGGGCAAATGCCTCTTCTTAAACATTGCCAATGGCAACCAATTAAATAAAATGTGATTTTACTCATTAGAACTGCTGCCTTTTCCTCCTAGCCAAATGCATGCAGAATTATTTCATCAATTAATCAACTCAAATTCCCGTAGCTAATCAACTGAGACTTCTACATATTGGAAGACAGCTGTAAAAATTGCTAAGAGAAGCACAGTATGCACTCTGGAGCTTTATGCATTCCTTAAGATGGGTTGAATAAAAAGTTCATCAGTATCTGCTGCTATAACCTGTCTTATTTTCTGGTTCTCTTTGGGCCAACTGAGTTTTGCAAACATTCCCTCTGCACAGTCACGGCTTTCTTTTAACTTTGCTTTTAACTTTGTATGTTTTAATATGCTGTAACCTGCCCCGACTGCCGAGCAGATGGGCGGGCTATAAATAAAAAATTATTATTATTATATTATTATTATTTCTTGCCTTAAAACTTTAAAAATGTGTCCCAGATACCTTTCCCTGGGTGGCTTCTGCCAGGCCATGGATGCCTCAGAGAAGCCATTCCCTGAAGCAGTGCAAAACTGGGTGCAAGGAAGGAACATTTTTTGTTTAATCCAAAGATGGGATGGGAATGAGCCCGCTGAAGACTAAAACCACCTGGTCTTTTCCATACACAAAGAGAAGCCAAAAAAAAATTGCTTTAAAAAATACTGTAATGAGCAGCTCTTTCATGACCCAAGCAGCTATGAAAATGAAAAATGCTAACTACTTGTCTTTGCAGCATCACCAACGCAGGCATTATACCATGGAGACCTAACTACGCACAGCTCCAGGCCACAGTGACTATTTAGATTTAGAACAAGGTCAGGCAAATGCATGGGAAAATGGGCCAGGGAAGTATGGTCTACCTTGACTAGCAGTCAGTCTCCAAACTGACTAACACACATTTGTCTTTTACCTGGTACTGCCTACATACAAAAAGCAAGTGATCTGCTACTAAACAACAATCCCAAAAGGCATCTCTTGTCTGTTGGCAGAGTGACAATCAAGCAACGTCAACATTCTTGAGCAAATAAATAAATTTTAAAATGCCAGCTTCCCTTCTATTTAACAAGGTTCTAATCCCAACAGCTACAAAGATAACCTTGAAAGCATGGAAACTTGCAGTAACTTCAGACATTGGACAGGTACCAAAGTAAGTGGTATGAGTCCTCTAGCATCTTATAGTGCTCCTCATCTCTTTATATTACAAAACAATGCAGATATATAAGGGAAGCTACTGAAATTTGCAATTGTATTAAGAAGCTGTAAAGACTCCCGAGAGTAGAGTTTGTTGGGGCATCCAACGGAAACAGAAGTGTCTATGCTCGTTGTTGTTGTTGTTGTTCTATGCTTTCAAGTTGTTTCTCACACATGGCAACCCTAAGGTGAATGTATCATGGGGTTTTCTTGGCAAGTTTCTTCAGAGGGTTTTTTTCCATTGCCAGCTTCTGAGGCTGAGAGTGTGTGACTTGCCCAAGGTCACCCAGTCGGTTTACATGGCTTAGCCGGGAATCAAACCCTGGTCTCCAGAGTCATAGTCCAGCACTCAAAACACTACACCACAATGACTCTGGCCTATGCCCCTTGGAAAGGACCAATAGAGCCAGCAATACTAAAGGTAACAAAAGGCAACTGCATCTACACTGCTGAATTAATGCATTTTGACACCATTTTAACTGTCACAGTGCAATGCTATGGAATTCTGGAATCTGTAATTCTGTGAGAAATTTAGCCTTCTATGTCAGAGAGCTCTGGAACCACAACAAACTACTAATCCCAAGATTTCATAGGATGGAGCCATGACAGTTAAAGCAGTGTCAAACTGCATTCATTCTGCAGTGTGACCACAGCTTCACTTGTCTTTTGGCCCAGCAGGGTTATCTGCCACTACTAGGAAAGGATGTGGCTGTAGCAGGCAACCTTGGAAGAACTGGCCAGGGAACTGAGTAAAAAGCAATGGAGAAACCATCAGGGAGGCAGAAGGAAACCAAGCAAACTGCCATACCTTCTAATATTTCACTTACGGAAACTGAGACATGTGTGGCCATGCAATATCCATGTGGTCAAGTTGGCAAAGGGCATTAAGGAAGAATGCACAAGCTGAGAGAGGCTGAATTGTTTGCTTTTGACTGAGTCTACAGGGAAGGGCAAGGCTTCATCCCTCCTCTTCTTTCCCTGCTGCTGAGTTTCTTGTTGTTGTTGCTGCTGTTGTGTGCCTTCAAGTCGTTTCTGACTTATGACGAGCCTAAGGCAACTCTATCATGGCGTTTTCTTGGCAAGATTTGTTCAGAGGATGTTTGCCATTGCCTTCCCCTGAGGCTGAGAGCATGTGACTTACCCAAGGTTACCCAGTGGGTTTCAAGGCCAAGCTGGGAATCAAACCCTGGTCTCCAGAGTCATAGTCCAACACTCAAACCATGTCACCCTGGCTCCAAACAAACCTATCACAAGGCTACCTGAGTGCAAACCATTTTGCACTTTGAACTCAGTTTGCAGAAAGGTAGCTGAAGAGAAAGAGAGAAAGTGGGAGGAGAGAGAAACTGGGACATTTTAAAATAAACTGAAACAGATGGGCAACGGAGGATTAATCAGGACCGTCAAATTGGGACAGTTGGAGGATATGTGAGCCCATGCCCAGCAATCCGTCTGCAGCCACCATTTCAGGAGCTTCTGCAGGAAGCCTGATGGATCACCCAGCCAATGGAAGAGCCTCAGAAGCCTTCCTGTGCCAGGTAAATCCACAGGTAGCAGACTTGATCAACCACTGATGGGAGATGGATCCAAGGTACCTTAAATTTTAGATGGGCAAGGGATAGTGGAGGGTTCTTTGCCTTAAATGAGAGGAGGACAGAAACTTTCAAATGGCACTGATCTAACAGTGCCTTTGGAGAAGTTCCACTTGGTCAGGATGCAGTGCTGTAAGCCTGGGAGAAGAAAATCCCACCTAAAACCACCAATAACACCTTCTGAACCTGTTGTAGACTTCTGGACTTTTGGTCAGGGAGGGTAGTGTTCCCCTATTAGGGGAGAACACAATAGCTTATGCTAAAACAAAAGAAATTAAAAAAAACTTTGCCCTGTTTGTATTATCATCATTTATCTCCCGCCTTTCCTTTAAAGCACTCAGAGCACAGCGTGTTTTGAAAGCCAGTGTGGTGTAGTGGTTTGTGCAGAGGACTATGACTCTGGAGACCAAGGTTCAAATCCCAGCTTGGCCATGAAACACACTGGGTGACCATGGGCAAGTCACTCTCAGCCTCAGAGGCAAAAGCAACCCCTCCTGAACAAATCCTGCCAAGAAAACCCCAAATTAGGTTCACTTTCGTGTTGCCATAACTCAGAAATGACTTGAAGGCACACAACAACAACAAAAGGCATGTCTTTTCTCCATGCACACATTTTCTCCTTTCAACCATCTTCTTTGGGAGGCGAGGCTAAGAGATCAGGAATAATTTAAGAAGAGCTTCCAAAGCAGCAGCAAATAGACATTGTCTAGATGGGTTTCTACACAGCCAAAGATATCAGAGATGAGATGTCTGCAGCCACCCATTACACTGTCTAGCCATTAACTTAAAACACTGAGATAGCAACTCTCTTTGTAGTCACAGAGGTATCAGCTTACAAATGAAATGTAATCTGGCTCTTCAGCTTTCTGGTGCTCTCTAAAAAAATGACTTCTTGCCACATAAACCTGAGATTGCATTGTTTTAAAAAAAAACTAGAAATGTATGCAGGCACATCTAGTCTTAGAGTCAGATCTAGACTTTCATCTTTAACCCCAAGTTGTAATTTAGCATGCATTTTTAAAAACATACTGTATCTTTCGCTCCACCACCAAACCTAGTCTATTTCTCATTCTCTGCCACACTTTACTGTTTCTACTATCTGCAACAGTTTCTCTCTTTTTTCTTCCTTTTCATGAAAAACTTGGAGGGGGGGGGGTACTAAGAAAGTAATGCTGGTGATGCTGGTGTGTGACCCATCAAAAGTTGGCTGTGTCATCTAGGGAACATTAGGAGTTCTGATCTAATTTTTTTTTTTAAAACTAGCTCTGGTTGGGGACTTTTTGGCTCCAGTCATAAGTCAACACACACTAACCGAAGAAGAATGAGCTAGGCTGCAATCCTACAGCCACCTTGTTGTTGTTGTTGTGTGCCTTCAGGACTTATGAGATCCTAAGGTGAACCTATCATGGGGTTTTCTTGGCAGGATTTGTTCAGAGGAGGTTTGCCATTCCCTTCCCCTGAGTCTAAGAGAGTGTGATTTCCTCAAATTCACCCAGTGGGTTTCCACAGCTGAGCGGGGATTCGAATCCTGGTCTCCAGAGTCATAGTCCAAAGCTCAAACCACTACACCAAATTGACTCAACTCAATGGACTTACTTCCAATTAAATACTGAATGAGTAGGACTGTACTGCTAAACTCTACAATGATCTCATACAACTTGAAGCCATGTAGATGTGTTGGACTAGAATTCCCATTATAGAAACGGGATAACCAAAATTCAGTACTGTGCAACTATATATATATATATATATATATCGAGAGAGAGAGAGAGAGAGAGAGAGAGAGAGAGAGAGAGAGAGAGTGTATGTGTATGGTTTTAATCAAATCTTTCTGTAAAGTTTGAAAAAACTACACTGTAGACAACCACGAAATTCTCTCAAAAAGCAGACTAACAAAACTGTCCTGGAAGTTGGTCAGAAAAGAACAGTAATGAAGTATGCAATAATACCCCAATACTACTAATCTACTTCTATAAACCAATCTATATAATAATAAATACTGTATAGATATATCTTGGTTGTTCTTGACAAAAAGGTAAATTCACAATTCATATAGAAGGCATCCAACAGTGCATATACAAAAAATATAACAAAGATGTAATGACTGATAATTTATAATAACAATATATAATGAATTGCTAATGAATATAATGAGCAACAGAACCTTTTTTTCCAGCAGAAGTTCAAAACTTTACAAAACAACAACCAATGAGGAATCTATTATACTCCAAAGGGTAAGCAAAAAAATGTTTTCACAAAGCAACAGCCAGGTTCCAGGATAGATTTGTAAGTTTAAAAAACTAGCAGCGAGATGTTTCTATGCTGTAAGTGTCTCTAAATTAATTTCCCCTGCTTTTCAAAATCTCATTGCAAACTAAAAAAACAATTTTTTTTTTTTAGAAAAAGCTAGCTTTCTACTTCCAAAAACCTGAACTATGTTTTTTACCAAACTATTTCTAGTTTGGGGAGGTTAACTGTGAACCTCCAGATGTTTCTGAACTGCAACTCCCATAACTGTTCACCAATGGCTAGGCTGACAAGCAAAGCAAAGCAGCAAAGCAGCTTCATTTATATACCTCTTCATACAGCGCTATGGAGTGTCTAAGCGGTTTACAACTGTAAGCTCATTGCCCCCCAACAGCTGGGTACTCATTTTAGCAACCTTGGAAGGATGCAGACCTGAGTCTAGCCTGAGCCCTGGCTAGTATTGAACTCGCAACCTTGTGGTCTATGAGTGAGTGGCTGCAGTACAAGTATTTAACCACTGTGCCACAAGAGTTGATGGGAGTTGTAGGCTAATAATAATAATAATAATAATAATAATAATAATAATAATAAAAATGAGCCAGTGAGGCACACAGTTTGATTGTTGGGACTATAATTCTGGATTCCAGCTTGATTCTGAAACCCACTGGGAGACTTTGTGCAAGTCACATGCTCTCAGCCTCAGGGGAAGGGAATAGCAAACCTCCTCTGAACAATCTTGCCAAGAAAACCTCTTGATAAGTTTGCTATAAGATGAAAACAACTTGAAGACATAGAACTACAACAACAACAAGGACCAGAGCTGGCCACCCTGCTCACCTGACACAAATAATCATCCTTCTATTTGCTAAATGCCAAATCCCTGTGCAGAGGTTTGTGCATAAGTGTGTGTTACATAGAGATAGCAAGGGAGAGAAAAAGCATAGGGGAAGGAAATGTTCATGGAAAGAAACACGGATTCCCTTTAAGAGAGAAACAAACAGACGCTTCACTTCCAAAACTCAGTGCATTACCATCTCATAGATAAAAGCTGTATTATTCAGGCAGCAATGAGATGAGTACGAAGCTGGTGGGCTGCTTCCCAGATGCCTTTGAGCTGATTGTGTCACTGCCTTCAAAAGCTACAGAATCAGACCCTTTCATTAAGATGCCTGGCGTGGCTTATTTTATGCCGCAGCCCAGCACTAAGCCAGTAAACCTCCTCAAGCAAGACATCCTCCCCAGGGAGATTTCTTTTCCCCTTCTGCAGAGATCTTTCTATTAAACACACAGGTGTTAATGCCACTGCCATTCTATTGCACAGGGACCCCTCAGCATTTCACAGCTAAATCAAGACTGGCATCAATGCACTATCAATATATCATCTCAGCTCTGTTACAGACAATAACTTTTAAGAGACTTGAAAGCAGTTATTAAAAAGCAATTACTGCCTGGGATATATCAGTCATTCTTTCCACTCAAACAGAATTTTGCAGGTCTAAGAACAATGGGGGAATATCTTGCTTTTCTAAATTAGAGCAGAATGCAGAAAAGTTACCTTTGAGTGGCTACAACTCATCTGACTTGGAGATTCTATAAGTTGTAGTCTTCCTCTTAAATAACCATGTTCCATCTAAAACAGTATTCTGTTTTCAACAATGGTTATTGATATTGTGCGCATTCAAGTCATTTCTGACTTACAGCAACCCTAAGGCAACCCTATCATGGGGTTTTCCTTGCAAGATTCTTCGGAGGGGGGGTTGCCTTTGCCATCCTCTAAGGCTGAGAATGGTTTGCCCAAGGTCACCCAGTGGGGTTCCAGGGCAGAACTGGGATTTGAACCCTGCTCTCCAGAGTCATAGTCCAGTGCTCAAACCACTACACCACTCTGGTTTTCAACAGTATAAACAGAAGTTTGTGACCACTGACAAGCATGGTATGAATGTAATAGTTTTCTTCCATTTATGCAAAGGCAAAAGTGGAATGTGCAACAAAATGTTGCAGCACAGCTCCTTTTTAGAGTTCTAGCCAGCCAAGTTCTCCTTCAGATTCAAAATGATATTAACAGATGGGTGAGGTGGGCCAAAACTAACAAAACAAATTTCAACAGGGATAAATGTAAAGTACTACATTAAGTCGGGAAAACTGAAATGTACAAACATAGGATGCATGACACATAGCTTAAAACAGTACAGTACATGGGGGGAAAAGATTTGGGGAACCTTAGCAGAGCACAAGCTAAGCATGACTCAAATAGTGTGATGAACTGGCCAAAACTCCAATGAAATTATAGGCTGTATCAACAGGAGTATAGTGCCAGACTGAGAAAAATAGCAATGCCACTCCATTCTGCTTTGGTCAGGCCTCACTTGGAATATTGTGGCCGCTTCTGGGCACTATAGTTCAAGGATACTGATAGCCTGTGACATGTCCATAGGAGGGCAACCAAAATGATAAAAGATCTGGAAACCAAGCCCTATGAGAACTGGCTTAGGAGTATATATGTTTAGCTTAGAGAAGGAAAGATATTGGACAGCAAGTAATGTAGAGATTGAACAAGCTTGTTCTCTGCTGATCCAGAATCTATGACACAGGTCAATGGATTCAAATTGGAAGAGCTGAGATTCACCTAAACGTTGGGAAGAACCTCCTGACAGTGACAGCTGTCCACCAGTGAAATAAACTGCATTGGACAGTGGATTCTCCTTTGGCTGGTTGGCCACTACTCAGGATTGCTTTAGTTGAGTTTTCCTGCATGACAGGGGAATGGATTGGATGGCCCTTGAGTTCCCTTCCAAGTCTATGATTCTACGATGACACAATACTCTATCCCACTCCCATTTTCCTTCCCACACCTGGCAAGAGTCAACCAGTCAGTTAGTATTCCATGCTACACCAAGCAAACTCAGTCTTCATTGAGCTATTCTGCAGATTCTTTGTTAATTGTCTTATCCCCACAAAATATTTATTTTGCTTCTGAATCCTTAGGGCTTCCACCATGCCTGCTTGTGCCTTCCCCTTCTGCATAAAATCATGGTGATTTAGCTGCTTTAGGAACTGCAGCCCAGGAACAGAGTTCACTGTTAAAGCTATGCATAACACAGATGGAGGATTTCATCCTTACAGCAGAATTTGGCACATCAGTACAGCCTGGAAGAACATCCCCAAGGGAGATAGGGTAGAACAGCTCCCAACTGAGCAGGAGCTTTAAAGGGTGGTTGGGAAGGCAAAGTCAGCCCTAGAATGACTCTGAATCTTGACAAAATAGGGAAGGCAAACAATGAATGAAGCTTACCCTGTGTTTGTGCAGACACACATTGGCACATAGGCATGCATATGTATAATGAGGAATAGATTCCTGTCCCCTGGTTTATAAAGTATTATTTCTACTCATAGCAATTTCATTTACCTAACATTATCGAAACATATCCCTTAATTGTTACTTTTACTACCTTAAGTGACTTTGGTCCAGAATACAGAAGGACTGCTCATTTTCCTACTCCCCACACCATAAGGTAGTGATTCCCAAACTTTGGTCCTCTGAGTGTTTTGGACAACAGCTCCCAAAAGCCCCTACTAACTTGGCCAATAGTCAGGAATTCTGGAAACTGAAGTCCAAAACATGTGGAGGATCAAGGTTTAGGAATGACTACCTTAAGATCTTGAGGGTAGGGTCTGCTTCATGCACCACCATTATATCATTGGTTATATAGAACAAGGTTTTCACAGCAATGGGATTTAAATTCTAAAGACACCTCTTACAAAAGACATAGTTCCCTCTTTCCCTTCCTTCCAACAGATCTTAAGACTATACTTTTTTTACTATCTTTTTCTGATGGAATTTTTATAATGATTCATTCTTAAATTCCTGTGCTTTTTGTTGTGGTTATGATTATGAAGGTGATGGTGATGATGCACTACCACCATCACTACTACTATTACTATAATATTTCTGTTTTTATTGCGTGCCTTCAAGTTGATTCCAACTTATGGAGATCTTAACGTGAACCTATCACAGGGTAATCCGCCCCGCACACTTCGATCGTCTGGAAATAATCTGTTAGAGGTCCCCAGGTTTCACTTGGTAAGGACCTCCCAGAGGGCTTTTTCCATCGTTGCCCCCTCTTCTTGGAACAAGCTTCCTGTAGAGCTCCGCTCCTCTGTCTCTTTAGCCTCTTTTAAGAAAAATCTAAAAACGTACTTATTTTGTTTGGCTTTTCCATCTTAGTAGCGGTATCTTCCCTCCATGCACCATTCTGTTGACCCCGGATCCTTCTCTGATATTCTGTGATTTTGTTGATTCCTGTTCCCTCCCTTGGACTAGTTTTTAATCTTTGTATTATATTGGTCTTTTTAATTTTTGTAAGCCGCTTTGATCTTTTTGGAAAGGCGGGGTAGAAATAAAATTTATTATTATTTATTATTATTATTATTTTCTGGAGCTGAGAGTGTGTGACTCACCCAAGGTCACCCAATGGGTTTCTGTGGCTAAGTGGGGAATCAAACTCTGGTTTCAGAGTCATAGCCAACGCTCAATCACTACACCACACTGACTCCTTAATTATTATACTTTATATGCCCTAGTTAGTACTTGGATGGGAGACCACCAATGAATACCAGCTGTTGTATGAAGGAAGGAACTGGCAAAACCACCTCTGAGTATTCCAGGCCCAACAAAACCCCATGAAATTCATGGGGTCGGCATAGGAACAGGCAACTTGAAGGCACATACATACACACATTCATATTATCCCTGTTCCTTTCCCAAACTCCATATTTGTATAGCCACATACAGTCAGCTCTCTGTATCCACAGATTTTTTATCCACAGATTCAAGCATCCACGACTTGAAAATATTCAAAAAATATATACATTCCAAAAAGCAAATTTTGATTTTTGCTGTTTTATAAAAGGGACACCATTTTACTGTGTCATTGTATTTAATGTGACTTGAGCTTCCACTGTTTTTGGTATCCACAGGGGCTCCTGGAACTAAACCCCAGCAGATACCAAGGGCCCATTGTATTTATTCCATATTTTTACTTTGCTACACATAGCTTTGAAGACTTTTGATTTTTTGTCAGGCTATGTCCAAGACGCTGTGATCAATGGTTCTCAAGCGTCTAGCAATTAAAGCTCTCTTCCCTTTATTTTTCCCATCCCTGGCCTCTTTTCCCTCTCCCTGACTTTGCAGAGGACTGCTTGAAATTCAATAGCTACAACCTGTCCTGAAAAGGAGGAGGGAAGCGCAGATGCACAGGAACATGTAATCAACTGTCATGTGCTTCTGTGGTGTGCAGGAACCCCGAGGCTGAAAAGATTGGATAAAATGAGGTTTAAAGCGGTAATGGGACAATATTGCTGAATAATCAGAATGAGATGACAAGCAGCCACGGTGCTAGAAACACATGCATGGAAAATCAAATACAACATCCCAGGCCACAAGATCCTAGCCTTCTACCAGATAGCAAGGCATGCTTGTCACCCTGCAGTTCACCAACAAAGGGAAAATTTCTTTTTCTCTTTAGAATGTGTTAGCTGTCTTTTGGAAAATGTTCACAGAGACATTTAACAGGAAGAAATGTCTGTGCATGTACTTCGATACTGCTGACAAGAAAATCCTTTTATTTCAGACCAGAGGTTATTTAGGAGGGGAAGGAAAAAATGTCTTCTGATCGAGGAAACTAAGCTTTTTTCACCTATGAAGCACAAAAATGGGGCAAAGGGGGAGAAGGAGGGGGAAAATAATCCCTTACCAAGTTTCCTTGTAATGTATAGTTCATCCCTGCACCACCAACCTTATCACATCTTAACAGCAAGCATGCTGCTCATTACAACACAACCTTCTGTGATAGACTACAATTTCCATCATCTCCATACAAAGATGCCCAAGTTAGGGAAGGCTATATGGACAGGGCTGTCTTGTTTTCTGTGAGTCCAAAGTGAAGGGTTAACAGTTTGGTCCTGACAACAGTACATAAGTGTATTGAGAAATTCAGCACTTGTTTGTATAAGCAAAGATGTATCCGCACTGCAGAAATAATCCGGTTTGACACCACTTTAACTGCCATGGCTCAATGCTATGGAATTCTGGGAACTGCAGTTTTATGAGACATTTAGCCTTCTCTGTCAGAGAGCTCTGGTGCCACTGCAAACTACAGTTCCCACAATTCTATGGCATTCAGCCACGGCTGTTAAAGTGGTGTCAAAGCGGATTATTTCTCCAGTGTGGATGCAAGCCAAATTTCTAGTCCTTATGGAGGCAAACAGTTCTAGTTAGCCTTATTCTCTTTTTTTAAAGTTTTATTGAGTCTTTTAATTCTGTTCTTTTTTCTGGATTGACTTAATGCCTTAAGTTGGGGGGAGGGGTACCAAAAAGAAAAACAAACAAATATACAACGGATTATAAATGTGAATAAAGAACAAAATCAAATTTATCCTTACAGTTAGTTGTTTATGAATTCCTTTTGTCTAAACCTCCTAATTTTCATTTGAGAAAGTTGTTTATCTGCCTCCTTTCAGTCTATATGTATACTTATATCTGTATGCACATACATACCTATGTATGCCGTTTTTTATATATATATATATATATATATATTAACATGTCTTTCCAATGTATGTTTCCCCCATGCATTGTGGAGGAACCCATATTTTGCAATATTTTCCAATCTATACTGTAATATGTATTCTTATGTTCCATTCCTTACTGATGAAGTCCATCACTTTGTCCCAATCTTCCATTATAGCTAGCCTTATTCTCAACATGTCACTTTTCTACATACAGGGATGTATTTATTCATTGTGGAAGAGGATCATGTGGGACCCTAGAAACAGCCTAAGCATCCAGGTGACAGGTAAGGCTTAGCCTCTCTTTCAGCCACTGCAATATGGGACATGCAATACTCACCTGTCTAGAGACACCATAAGCGTCATTTTGATAATACAGTGGCTCCTTGATATTTGCTGGAGTTTGGTTCCAGGACCTCCCCATGGATACCAAAATCCATGGATGCTCAAGTCCCATTAAATACAATGGTACAGTAAAATTGTATACTTTATATAAAATGGAAAATCAAGGTTTGCTTTTGGAAATAAATTATTTTTGAAGATTTTCAAGCCATGGACGGTTGAATCCATGGAAAAGAAATCCATGGATAAGCGCCAACTGTAGATTATTATTTATTATTACAGTAGGCCCTACAAATTCACCTGGGTCGGGGGCACAGAACCCCCATGAAAGGGAGGAAAGCAAATATTCTCTCCCCCCTTTTTTAAAAAAACCTGTGGCAACATCTCTCTAGGAATCTCTAGGTCCTTTAACACAATTCTACAGTCAATATTTGGCAGAAGATTACTATAAAATTGCACTGAAACACCTACATATGTCTAGATTTGTATTCTCTAGGAATCACTAGGTCCTCCAGCATGACTTCTGGTCAACTTCTGGCAGAGTTGCACTGGAGGACCTAGAGAATCTTAGAGAGAACAAGTCCGCAAATAATCAAATCTGCAAAAGTCAAAGCTACAAATGCGGAGGGGCAATTCAATTTATTCATCTATCTCACACCTTTCCCCCAATATCAGGATATGGTTTACAGAATATTAAAACCAAAACTGATTAAGAGTGTACAAAAAAGAGTAAAATTATATAAATCTTTTATATAAAAATGAAAACAATCTACAAAATTAAAACTAATTTAAAAATTCATGAGAAGATATTTACAAACTGCGTAACACTAGAAGGTCATTGCAGTCAATTCCTAAACACCTGTTTGAATAGGAAAGTTTTCTCTTGGTAGCAAAAAGAAAGCCATAGCTTGACAAGGGAGGGAGTTCCAAAGTTTGGGAGCAGCCACCAAGAAGACCCTCTCCTTTGTTCCCACCAAACATGCCTGAAAAGTAGTGGGGCAGAGTCACCCCCTCAAGATCACAGAATCTGGGGAGGCTAATATCAGGAGTTTTCTTAGTTCCCTAAATATGAAATGCCAAACTGGAAGGGGCTATGTGTGTGTGTGCTGCATGCCTTCAAGCCATTTCCTATTTATGGCGACCCTAAGGCAACCGTAGTATTGGGTTTTCCCGGCAAGATTTGTTCAGAGGAGGTTTCCCATTGCCTTCCCCTGAGGCTGAGAGCATGTTACATGCCCAAGGTCACCCTGTGGGTTTTATGGCCAAGCTAGGAACTGAACCTCAGTCTCCAGAGTCACAGTCTAACACTTAAACCAATACACTACACTGGCCCCCTACACACATAACTATTTACATTTGAAGAACTGCACAAACAGAGCCAGCATGGTGTAATGGTTGGATTTTGGACTAGGACACTGGGAGACAGCATTCAAATCCCGGCTCAGCCCTGGAAATCCTCTGAGTGACCTTGGACAAGTCACACTCTCTCAGCCTCAGAGGATAGCAATGGCAAATCTCCTCTAAACAAATTTTGCCAAAAAAATCCTCTGATAGTTTCTCTTAGGGTCGTCATAAGTCGGAAATGACTTGAACACAACACCATACACATTTTACAGCTATTATGCAGAACCACCTTTCTTCCTTTGTATTGTTGGACACCTGCCAAGGCCCTGACTCCAGCATGGGGTGCTGCTACTGGCTGCTGGAGCTTTCTCCCACATTTTCCCTACTCTTCGGCAGCCTGATCTCTCAATTTTTCTATCTGTACTTCAAAGCTACAATTATTCTCTGCTGCTCCCTAACCTTGCATGCGGCACAGATAGGCAGGAGTCCAGCCCACTGACACATTCCACAAAGCTGAAACATGCAATGCCTTCTGCAGCAACCAAATTGCAGCCCCAGAGAGCAGAAAATCAAAAATCTAGGCTGAAGAACAGCCACTGAAGCCAGTACTGTGATGGAAATGGAAACTCTAGGCTTTTTCCAGCTGGCTGGTTAGAGGGTCAAAACTGAAAGCTGTCAATTTTCACTGGCAGAATATCTCTGCACAAGGCAGAGGAGAGAAGAGATGTATTGAATTACAAACAGGACACTTCTGGAATCCCAATGATTTTACTCCCCTTCCCACCTTTTGCTTCTCCAAATCCTACTGAGTCGGCCCTTTACCTATCAGGAAGACTTGCTTCCTGTTGCAATCAGAAATTGAAAAAGCTGCTTACTTTAGACTATAATTTCCAGAATTCCCCAGCAATGAATAGCCACTGTTTCCTATTATACTAGCTGGAACATGCCTGATTTTTTTTTCTGATTTAAGGACCTAAGTAGTAGTTCTTTTGTTTCTACTTCTTCTTCTATTTATATTCTGCCTTTTCAGCTTGAGACTGAAAGCAGCTTATCAAAATTAAAACAAATTCAGCTCAAAGTTTATATCATACAAAATTTAAACTCAAAAATATTATTTCATCATAATTCATAATCATAATTTAATAGTAAAAGAGTCCCTATACCTTGGATCAAACATAGATCAGAATGGGGACTGCAGTCAAGCAATCAGAAGACTAAGAATAGGGAGGGCAGCTATAAAAGAACCAGAAAAGATCCTAGATAGCAAAGATACACAACTAAGCACCAAAGTTAGAATCACACAAGCAATTTATTTCCTATTACCATGTAAGGATGCAAGAAATGGACAATTAAGAAAATTGATAAGAAAATAAATTCATTTGAGATGTGATGCTTGAGAAGAGTGCTGAGGACACCACAGAAAGCCAAAAAAAAACAACCAAATGGGTCCTTGAACAGATCATGCCAGAAATCTTCCCAGAAGCCAGGATGATTAAGTTGAGGCTGTCATACTTTGGCCACATCGTGAGAAAGCACAACTCATTGGAAAAGACAATAATGCTAGGAAAGGTGGAGGGACATAGAAAGAGAGGAAGGCCACATGCTAGATGGATTGACTCTATTAAGGAGATCACAAGTATGAATTTGCAGGACCTAAGCAGAGTAGTGGAGGGCAGGGAGTCTTGGAGATGTCTCATCCACAGGATCGGCATGAGTCAGGATTGACTCAAAGGTGGTTAACAACAACAACAACAACAAACATTGTTGGACTTCATGTTCCAGCAGCCCTGGAAGGAATACTGGGAGGTGCAGGTCAACAACATCTTAAGGGACATATTTCTGTCTTATCTATCAGCAATTCCACAGGTCAATACTAACAGACTAGTTTAAAGACAACTAGTAGCTAGCTCAAAGACCTATATCAAGTCACAGAACTCTGAAGATTTATGGTAACGGTTACAATATGTATCTTTCTGGATCCTCTATCCCACTCTCACAACTGTGTTAACTATGATTAAAAACATGTGTCTTCAATATAACTCTAACTGAAGAAGTAAAGTGGCATCCATAAAAGCTTGTGCAAAAATAAACCAGTTAGCCTAAAATGTGCTGCTAGACTCATTGTCAGGATGTTCTTCCTAATGTTTAGGTGGAATCTCTTGGATTCTTCTATTTTAGATGCTTCACATCACGTCCTGATTTGGGTTCAGCTAATGAAGATTTGGGTTCAACAATTCAAGCCTAAACTCTCACTAGAAAAACAGGTGACTAAACTGAGCAGGCCTTACTTTGAATGTATCATGAGACAACATGACCCATTGGAAAAGACAGCAATGCTTGATAAAGTGGAAGATATTAAGCAAAGAGGGAGACTGCACTACAGGTGGATTCATTCAATCAAGAAAGCCAAGGTTTGTAGGATCTCAGCAGAGCAGCTGTCAAGTGAGGATCTTGGAGGTCACTTACTCATGGTCACCATAAATCAACGTCAACCTGACAGCAAATAACAGCAACAAGTAAAGAAGCTGGATTTTGAAGTGGCCCTTCTTGTTGTTAATTATTTAAAGGCAAATGGTTCTTTCAAGAGTGGAAATTTTCTTAATGACAGTCATTTATCAGAAGGTTGGCTCATTAGGAAGAGGATTGGGTCTGATGGATACAGGACAACTACTTGGGACACCGTCTGCCATTTCCTGGCCAATGACTAAATCACATGCAAATCCTTAAGCCACTCATTAATTTATAGATAGCCAATGCATTACAAAGGTAACCCTAACAAAATGAAAGCCTGCACATGACAAGGCAAACTGCTGAAAGGAAGACTACAGCAGCTTCACTGCATCAGAACAAAGGTGTGACTTAGGCCAGCCACATAAGCCTCCTGGTTTATGAAACTAGTTTCATAAGAGCATTCAAGCAGTTCACAACAAAGAGCCTCATTTTTCAGAGGGGGCAACCCATCCTGTGCTATGTCAAAAAAGCACAGTGAGAGTAACTACGGATGAACAGCACAGCCTTAGTCAACAGATTTGCTCCATTGAAGCGTGTGGTCAAGATCACAGTTTTGGCTACAACAAAGGATAAACATTTGGGAGACCTGAAAAAACAGCAGGAGGAGGGACACTAGAGGAGCAATACAGCAGGAGAAGGAATTGGACTGTATCTTGGGTACTACAAAGAGCAAAGGAAGACAACTTCAAGAGCAAAGGCAGAACTCACCATTATTATTATTATTATTATTATTATTATTATTATTATTATTATTATTATTATTTCCCACCTCTCCCTGCAGATCGAGGCAGGATTACATCAATAAAAAGTAACCACAATATACAAAATACAAGAGTGCAAAAATACATAATATCAACTATAAAATTGACATGATAAAATTCAATAAATAGTCCAATCATCTTGGCTAGCCTCGGGAGGAGGGAATAGCAAGAAGTGGTATCCAGAACTCTGTTTCTGGTTTCAGTTTTTGTGAGTTTGGAGAGTTAAAGGGAGAGTTCTGTGTCTTGTTATAGCGCAAAACATACTACCGTATTTTCCGGCGTATAAGACGACCCGCGTATAAGACGACCCCCCCATTTTTCCAGTCAAAATATAGTTTTAGCACCTCTATCCTCATTATCCTTATATCCAGCGTATAAGACGACCCCCCCCACTTTAGCCACAGATTTTGCAAGTTAAAAAGTAGTCTTATATGCAGGAAAATAAGGTACTCATTTCAAAAGGGCCAAAGACATTAATCCTTTTTTGTCCACTTAATTGCATTTTACCCAACCTGTACTAAAACTTGAGAAAACAGTAGGCCAACACAACTCAGAAACCATAAAAGGTATCCCATCAGGAGCATAAGTGTTCTGCTTTTGCTGAGACAGCATACATACACAAGAACATTCTCCAACACCATATATGTTCCTCTCCCTCTTTCTTTTTAAACCAAGGGCAGCACCTTTTGGGGGGAAACAACACAAATTAAATGTACAAGTACAGGATGAATGATACCTGGGTTGACATTTATAGAACCATAGCTATCTTGTCACAGGAAGCAATGGTTCTAACTGCTAGACCAGGGGTAGGCAACCTTTCCCCTTTAAGGGCCGAGGGACTTCAGCTCCCAGAAGCCTCAGCCATGTTGGCCAATAGTCCCATGTTGGCCAATAACTCCTGGGATTCTGGGATCTGAAGTCCCTCGGCCCTTAAAGGGGAAAGGTTGCCTACCCCTGTGCTAGACCTAACCTAGAAGACTGTATCCAGCTCTGTTGCGACTATCCATACTTTGTTATGAAATGGGTCAGTGGGAAAACTCAATTTCCCCTAGGTTTTAACTGAAGTATGGGTAGCTAACAAGGCTACAGACCAGCAGAGTAACATTTGTACAGTGCAAAAGAAAATGCTCCTCATCCACTCCACAGAATGAAAGAATTGGAAGAGTGCAAAAGGGCCATCTAATCCCTGCTACATAGGAAAACACAAATAAAGCGCTCTTGAAAGATGGCCATCAAACCCCTGTTTAAAAACCTCCAAAGGAGGAGACGACAACACCCTCCAAAGCAGTCTGTTCCAATGATGAACAGGTTGTCATCAAGAAGTTCATCCTAATGTTTTTGTTTTAAATTACTGTAAGCTGCTCTCTTTATCTTCTACATGTGTGGTGGTGGTGGTGTTCATTTACTCATTTAGAGTCATTCACAACTTATGGAGAGCAAATCTATCACTGGATTTTCTTGGCAAGACTTGTTCAGAAGAATTACCTTTGCTTTCCTCTAAGGCTGAGAGAGTGTGAACTGCCCAAGGCCAACCAGTGGGTTTCCATGGCTGAACCTTGTTTCCATCACTGCCCAGGATAGGGCAAAGCAAGGTGCGTCAAGGCTAATAATATTTTTCCTTACCTTTGTCATCACTGCTAACAAGCTTCCAGAGGACAAATGAACAATTAGAAAAAATGATGAAGGGGATATACAGAGTTAGGAGCATCTCCACTG